ATCTTTCCTTGTAGATTCAATTGCTGTAACACGTAACCTTCCTCTTCCCACTCCTGGAATCTGCGTGGAGAGACCTTGGAGATTTGTTAAGTAGTGGTCAATCCTATCGATATCAGACATGGATGAATTCTCTCTCACAATGCTAGGGGGCACTGAACTACCAAGGAAAAAATTGTTCAGAAATCCTTAGACTGAGACCCTGAACTCCTAGAGACACTGAAGACCCTACTGTACTTTCCATTCAAAAAAGGGATCTCAGCCCTGTGTGATGGAACATACTCCCAGATGAAGATGTTCTTGGGCTAAGTTTTTTTTTTTAAAGATTCACTACATTTAGCACCCTAATGTATTGCAAAGGGTGGTGGTTTACATTGTTTTATTGATGCTACATGTATCACTTCCAAATTAGCTAAAGTGATTACTAGGCACTGAAGTAAATTCTGCAGATGATACTATGTTGCTTATACTTCCTATTGCCTTCAAAGACATTACCTATAGTTTGCAAAGTACAGTATGTCCTTTTGGACAAAAAAAAACATAAATAAATCACTGCCTTTAGTAACAGTCTGTTAAGTCATGTCTCTGTATTCCATGTTCCATTTGATTAAAACAATAATAATAAAGATTTTTGTAATCTTTAAAAAGCCATTTTCATGCAAAGATGCTAAAAGATCTTATAAGTTCCCCGACAAATGACAACACTATCCAAATGACTTTTCATTGAAGAGACTCACAAATCAGATAGAATTTCACATCATCTTTAGGTTGATTTTTAACAGCTGTGGAAAGGATAGTAAAGGATCAAGTTTGCTTCCAAATCTGGTAACAGTCTATAAAACAACCAGGGAAGCCCAGTTTAGGAAAGGGCTGAGTATAGCAAGGATACCTCATGTTTGTGACACCTGCCATTGGCAGTTCAAAGAGTTATGGAAGCCAGTATTTTCTGGAGGAGGTGAAGGGGTATGCTGTAGTACAGGAAATAGGTATCTCCAACAAAGGCACCTAGAACCATCCAGCCTAGGTATCATCACCATCCATCCTGGTAAGGAGTCCTGAAAAGCTCTTTAAAGCCCTTAGTTCAGTAATAAACCTCCTCATTTGACATGACTGTGGTCTGGATCTTCTGGCTAGAGCTCTCCAGCCACTTCATTTGAGCACGCTGGTCTCATAGAACTTAGAAAGAACAATAAAACTAAAAATGCCCCATACTAAAGAGAGGTTTGTCTTGGCATACCTGCTACTGAACAGGCATATGGCTCAGACCCTTTCAGAGCAGTGAAGCTATACTGATTTACACCAGCTGAGAATCAGACCAGTAAAACCCTACAAATTAGATTTGCCACTCTACACAGAGAATGACAAGGGGGAAAACCTATTTATCAGATGAGCAAATGCAACTTCCATCTCCAAATACCACCTTATTCTTCTCCAGTCAGATAAGCAGTCATTTTTCAAGGGCATGTTATTAACAAACACAAAAATCCCAGCCATATCCAGACCATGTCAAAATATATGGGGATTTTTAAGGTCAACCTCCACATCAAGCAGCCATCACAGTAGGTTTTAGATCTAAAAAATTTCTGAAGTAAGAATAAAATCACCTGCACCACTTGCAACAACAAAAAAATCAAGAAGAAAACATTGCCACATTTGGCAATTTGTCTGTCTATGAGAACTACAGAGAACTATCAGGATAAGCATTTTGCTTCCAGTCTGGCAAGGATCACCCAGTCTTTGATCAATATATTATGTGAATTCTAATGAAACTGATGAGCAAATATTTTCTTCACCCTAAAAATACAAGCAAGCAAAATCCGGTTGGATTTTCAAATAAATTCACTTAGACTGAGCCTCTATCCTATTAATGTTATACATTAGCAGAAGCCTGAATTTTGATGATGCAAACATTAATGAAACATGAACTTGCATGTTATATGAAGGGTGGGAAGGGCGCCTTGGTTGCACAGACAATAGAGAGCTGATCTTATGAAAGGGGACTAAGACTGGGGCTTGTTTAGCTTAACTGAACAAAGGTGACATTCGATTGCTGTCTCACCGCAGCATAAACGTCAAAGCAGGAAGGAGCTTCAGGAAAATGCTGGAAGAGGAATAAATAGCTGTGAATTAGCCATAAAAAAAAAGTAGTCTTGAAATTAGAAGAATTTAAATAAAAGAGATTCTGGAACAGTCTCCCAATAAGAGAGCTAGGGTGCTTAAAATTGCTTAGATGGAGCCTGACTGCTTGATGAAAGGGCAATTGCCACATGCACCAAGCAGAATTTTGCATATTCATTATTGAGTCATAAACTGAATAACCTGAGAAAGGCACTCATGGGGCAAATTCAAATAGGCTGTTCATCATGCTGTTTTGGAAAGGCAATACAAGGCCATTATTCATTACATTTTGTTAAAGCACCATATAAAACATTGTTCTGACTTTTAAGTAGGATTGATTTCAGCTATATCTGACACATTGCACTACGATTATTAGACATTGTGCATTTGATATTTAGGTGTTCTTCCTGTTCATAACTTCTGTTGACAGAAGCTTAAGCTGTACGTGCTCAGCACCTCTGGAAAACTAGGTCCAGAGGTCATTGGTGTCTTAATAAATAAATAAATCAATTGCACTTACACTCCTGAGCCTGATAAATTGTTTGAAAAAACCCACCCTGAATTTGCTGCGTTACTGATTCAGATCAGCTCAGTGCAATGCAAGCATCAGATGCAAAGTCCTCCTCTTAGATCTGCCAGCTGGATCTAACATTTGATTCTTGTCATTAAGCTCTAGCCGCTGGTAGGGTATCTTTTTTTGGATTCACTGGCATTTATACAGCAAAACATGATCCTGCTGCCATTTAGTCAAGATTCACACCTCTCAATGTCAAGAAATATGTAGTCAAAAGAACCCATGAAATCCTGCTCCTATTGAACAGCTGTAAATATCTATTGTGAGATTCTCTTGAGAAAGCAAGAGCACTGGCCTCTTTGTTAATCGATGTTTGCTGAAGAACCAGTGCCTCTTCAGAAGAAATGGCATTCATTTCCCTTTTCTAACAACATCATCAGGACTGCCAATTTAAGGATCTTGAGATACTCAAACACCAAGATTTATAGTCTCCCTGTTTACTGAGGGAAAGGAAAGCATGAGGTGAGGAAGTGATTAGATGAACTCTACAACAGTTTCGTTCTTAGTTCTTCCCTTTCCCAGTGGAGACGTTGCTTGCCTCCCACTTGTCCTCTTCTGCCTGAAGACATCCACACCCAGAATCTTCGGGCACTATTCTCTAAACAGCAACTGTAAAAGCAAGATGGTTGTTTCACGTATTAGTCTTCCTGATAGGTCCCAGTTTGGATCAGCTCAATTGGGAAGGAAACACGGTGATTTCTGACTGCCCATTGCTATAAATGTTATAAAAGCTGTGAAAGCTTAACCAAGTTCTTCATCATCCAGACATTTCAGAACAGGAGCCAACAGGTTGGCCTTCCCAATCAACATATAAACTTTTAAAAGTGGCCTCATTTCTGGATGCATAAAGCCACCATTAATGTCAAACATCCTGCTGCTTCTCCAGCAAGTTCAACAAGAACTTCAGGTGCTATGCAACTTCACAGGCTCTGGTTTTCAGCTCTTTGTACTAAGATGTCACAAAACAGCAAGACCCAGCTGCTCCCTAAGGCATATGTAGCCAGAGTAACACAGCCAGCAGGACAGACACCTTACCAGCTAGGGACCAGTCTCAAAGTACTCAAGGGAGGTGAGCAGGGCAGCCAGGGATGGCAGCCAGGTTCCACCAGGAGTCCAGGTCATCAGGCAAGATCATGGCAATACGCAGGTCTGGGGCCAAGCTAGGAGTGCAAGTCAAGATCAGGTCTGGTGATGGTTATCACAGAAAGATAAGGCTCCAAAATCACCAGGAAGGTTCATAGCGGCAAGTCAGCCCACAGGTTGCAGTCCAGACCAATGCAGTCCATGGCTGGGCACAGCAACAACCCACAATAGAACTAGAGACAGACACACCTCCAACATAATTGAGATAGGATTCCCAAGCCTGAGCTTAAATGAAGCCCCTAGACCTATGGGCAGAGGGCGTGGGTGGAGATCTCAGTTGAGGCTCGTCAAGGTCATCAAGGTCCATTACTGACCTCAGGGCCCTGTGACAGAAACACAAATGATACTGCAATCAGATAGCAGATGATCATGCTGGGGTAGCAGGAAGACTGTAACATGATTTGGCTCTAAGATAAGTAAGGGAACTGCTGTGTGGATGAAGACATACCCTATTTTTCTGATTCTGAGCAACACTGAGAAGTGCACATTCTTCCCAAGTTACACCAGCTTTACTGGAACGTCAATAAGTATTGAGCATGCAACGTCCTTGTTCTGCAAAGGACACACCACGCATAAGATTTTAGGGGTAGCTTCTTTGTAGCATATTTATATTAAGATACAGATGCTGAGAAACAGAAAGCTAGGGTTTCCTGAGCTGTGGAGGGAAAGAGAGAGGATGTGGCTGTTTCAGGCCTCAGGCAAAGAATGCCAAAGGAAGAGAACTCAGGAAACATATAAACAGAATCAGTTCTGAGAAATGACTTGATTTATCCAAGAAGATTAAAGTTGGTATGATATGAAGAATTATATACCTCTTCCGCAAGCCCTAAAACACACAGAACTTTATAAATCTCACTTACAGGATTTCTACTACAACCACAAAAGGAGGACCAAGAAAATAAAACATTGGCAGTGCTAAGGTTTATTATTGTAGAAAGGGCTAAAACTGGAATGAAGGCATATGAAGAGAGGGACAAATCCTGAGGAAATTAGCAAAGCATTATTAGCTTCACTACTGCCAGAGCTTCCCCTCAGTACTTCAATTAGAAAATGAACACAGTGTCATACATAAAGACAAGCCCCACAATATGCTCAGCATCGCACGCTGCCAACAAAATGTGGAAGCTTGTCTCAAGACTTAAAAACCACCTTGTAGACAGAGACAGACAAACTTTTCTATAGTTGGCTGTCCACATGTTTCTCTAAGCATGGAACACCTCCTAAAAAAAAAGGTATTTGACCTCTCAGATATAAAATAAATACCAGCTGAGCCTCTAACTCTGTTAAGAGCCTAAGGAGGAAGATTAAGAGTAAAATAAATCAGAAATGAAGCTTTTAAATCCTTAACAGTCTAATAAAAAACCCAACTAGTATGACATCCTATCACACACGGTCGGTCGATAAGAAGGAGAGATGAGGGTAGGATGTTAGACAGTAGATGGGACCAGAAAATCAATCTACTGCCGTCTCCCTGCAGCACTTAAAAGAAGCAGGAAACTATTCCATTTTCTATATAGGGAGTGAGGACTTTGTCATTACCTTTCTCTTCCCAGGTAGAGAGTAAGGTTTGGCATTCTTTTGAGAGATACTATCTTCTCTCCTGCAACATGGACTCCTTCATGCCATAGCAGACTTCTCATGGGGAAAAGTGATTTAGCAAAGGCAAGGGATGAAATGGAGATGATGATTGGCAACGTTCTGACATGCAGTGAAACTCACTCCCTGCTCCTTTATCTTCATAGCCATCACCGCGCACCACAGCCCCCTTCTGCACGCTTAGTAGCCACACTTCCATTTGTCTGAGCTTTCCCAGGAACACACAGGATGCCTCAACCATGAATGCTCCTGACATTGAAGTATAACCTCTTTGGATATCTCACAGCTGTTCCTCTTTCTACCCTTTGACTAGGCTCTCCTCTGCTTGTAGAAGTGGACTTTGAAAGAATTTGGTTGTTGATGCCAGTGGGGAACTCCCACGAAGGCAAGGAAGTTGTGTGCAACTTGTTAGTGGGGAAGGAACTTCCGTGTTCTGACCAGAATGTCACATTATAAGTGATGCTCCATGTGATGAAGCACAGACTTTCAAACTAAAGAACCCACCTGATCCTCTCCCACACAAGTTCCTAAGGATGTCCACCCATTGACGATTATTTTCTGCTGATGATTTTTTTAAAATCTCCAACATGAAATAATGCAATGATTACTTTAGTGTGTATGTAGACTATTCAAACAAAAAGAGACAGGACAAGCATTACACAACTAAAGACAAATGATTAACTCAACTCCCTACAAACTCGCCTAAATTCCAGGATGCTTTGGACTACTGGTTAAAATAAATTATCTTTGGATCTTTTATGCAAATATACAGATGTGAAGCTTGTACCATGATGTTGATACATCACGTTTGATGTCTATTGTATTTGAGAGGTTAACTTTCACTCCCATACATATGCAGTGTTTTTGCAACAGCATTCATAATTTCATTTCCAAGGAACAATGCTGGATTGACAGCATTGAAGTCTCATGCCTCTTATTTAGCCGTTTAAAGTCACATTAGCTGTTGTGCAGCAAATGTCCCTCCTATCAACCTGCTTATCTCTGGGGGAGGAAGAAAGAAAGCAAGCAGAAGAGTTTTCAGTACTTTGTTCCATTACCCACTGAAATTATAACACCAAAGAAATATATTTGCCACAAAGTGAGGTGCACACTCAGAAAAGCATTTGAGGCAGTCAGGTCTGCTGCTCCGACCTGCATTTATCTGAAAGGAAGAGAAGTGAGGCCCTGTGAAACCCCATGTTACCTTTTTCTCCTGAGCAGTGAGATTAGGGGTTCTCACAGGTGCATGGGGTATTCCTTTCCTCCGACCTCTGTTTTCAGGCAAAGGGTATAGAGGAAGGCCACGACAGATTTCCTTCAGGCTGGTCATAGCTGCTGAGGAAATACGAGGAGGAAAGGCAAGGCAAACTGGAGAGGTACAAGAAACGAGGAACGAAGGGTGCTGGCAAGCAAGATGCTAAGCGACTGAGGTGTACCACCACTCTGGGGTGATCTCGAAGAGGACAGCTTTTGCAAACAGGCCTGTCAAGCAGAGAGGGCAGGCGGCACAGGTGACACACCTCCCCGCTCTGTGCCGTGCCATTGGCTCTTCCCTCCTCCCCCAAAATGAATGATTCACAGTTTTGCTGTTTATTCTCTGGGTGCTTTGTCAGCTGGTGCTGTGCTAAGCCACTAGAGCAAACTCAGTCACTTTCCAAATCATCTGATTCCCCCAATGTCCTCGTGAGAGACACGGTCTGGGGCATGAACCTTGCCTGAGACCTCAAGGATTGTGTATCTGCATTTCTATAGTTTAGGAAGTAACTAAAGTTAATCATTATTATTCACGTCACTGTTCATACATACTGTTCAGCTCAGATGGGCATTTTTTCTTTGACACCTCTACGTATGGGCTGTTCCTCAGATCTCATCAATTCGTCTTCTAGACAACAGGGGTTGTCAATGATAACAGCAAAATTTCCCCCTTAGGTGTTAGCTCCTCTTAAGCTCGCAGGCATGAATGGATTTTAGTAGTATTTAACTGGAAATGTACTCATTAGCACTGGTAATGGTTTTCTCAAGACAGGCAATTATTGGGAGGAAGAATTAAGGCTTTCAGTTCTCGGTCACTTTTATACCCTACAGTCAACAACTAGAAAGTCTTATGGTACTGCTATTCAGATATCACAAGTAAATGAATATACTTAATTTTGATTTTCCACTTACAGTGCAACATGAACTTTGCTCTCCATTTTCAGCTGTTGTTTAAATTATGCAGGAGCTTCTTGACCTTTATTACATCCACGGAACTACAACTCGTGGCCAGGAAAAATTCTCAAGTGCCACAGTTTAAGCCTGGTGAAATTAACTGGGAGAAACATTTCAGTTAGGAACGAGCCTAAAACCTACGGATAAAAAAATACTGTATTTTCCCACAAAGGCAGCAATCAACAAGCGATGACAACAAAGCACAATTATTAAATGACAGCATCTCATTAATGTCACATTGGCTTTAGCTCTAGGACATATTGCACATCCCCAGCTCCCACTGAAGACGCTTGAGTTGAAAGAACTCAGAACATCCCAGGGGAGCTGAGCACACAGCATACTCAAACCCTCTGAAGGATACTAACTGTCATTTATAGCAGGAGAATTTTGTTTCATAATTATACAGTATTTTAGCTGTTTTCCAACAAAAGACAAGGATAAAAAGGGTAGGAAAAAGCCTCCTTCATATTCTAAAATTTTCTATTGGGTTTTCTTATTAAAAACATACAAAAAAGGAAGATAAGGGTAAAGTCAGAAAATTCTACCCCAAAACCTATCTAAATAACCCTGCCTTACATAAACACCCCAAAGGGGAAATAAATCTGTCCTTATTCTTCTTTGTATGACCCACATTCTCCAAATCCCTCTAAGGTCTGATCCTGCACACACATGGGCACAAGAATAACCTCGTCTACATTTGGGCTCCCATCGGACCTGCTTCCCTCTGTGACATCAGGCAGAAGTGAATAGCGTTACACTGCTGTGAAAGCTGAAGAGAGAGAGAATAAAGCTGGGAGTGGGGGAACTTATTCACTAAATTAAAATTATTTCTAGGGCTGAGCACTTTCACCCCCGATTGCTATGTGCTGGAACCTCTCCATATCGCTGGGAGCTTTGTGTCGGAGTTACCTGAGCAAATCCGACCTCAGGGTCATTCCCAGTGTCGGCTGGGGCAGGCAGGTGTGCCAGCGGTGGCAGAGCAGACACCCCAGCTCCTCCAGGAAGCCACAAGCCCCCTCGCTGCCTGGCTTGTCCCAGCTCACGTCTGTGATTACGGAAAGAACCCCGGTGCCCGTGGCCGTTCGTACACCGCGTGAGCCATACCTAAACCGAACCCCAAAGCCACCCCACTCTCCCCAGGCCTTGCGGGGTGTCCCCGGGCAGTGCCCCGCTGCAGGGCCGGTGTCATGTGCCGGGCGGGCTGGCAGAGGGTGCTGCAGGGACAGCAGGCACCGGCCGGGCTGCCCCCGCCCCGCACACCCCCCCC